TTTTTTTTTGAGAGATTTTCACTGTAGGGCGCGTGCGCTCGCCAGACAGACAGAGAGAGACATAGAGACAGAAAGCGAGAAATCACCCCCCAGGGGGGATGGTCACGCCGCAATCCCTTCTCCTCCATTCTCCTCTCGGGATCTTGGGCACGCACGCACACGCGCCCGGCGTGAGTTTTAAGCCACCGGGTCCAGGACACGAACCGCGGTCGACTACGTGGGAATCCAGTGACATAGCCATTACGCTAACTGCTGGTTCCCGAGTTTGTTGTGGGTTTTTAGGTTTGTTTCAGAATATACAGAAATTCGTAAGTCTATCAACAGAATGGATAGACTTCTATCAACATCTGTCAGGAGGGGAATTTGTCTGTGTTTGACTTTATATCCCTGGAACCTAGAAAAGTGCCTGGCATATAGGCACTCATATTTGGTAGACAAAGAGTAATTCTGGGCTATTGTGCGGTGATTACACCTGTGAAGTGTAAAGACCTGCGATGATTCATCTGCTTATTACCAGAGCAAAGAATCTACAATCTAATCTCCGCGGCCTGTGAGGTCAATTTGATTGTAAGGTACACTTCCTTCTCATAGCGAATTTTTCCACTGTAAAGCTCAAACAGGTGGGTGGGTAACGGGTTAAATGCTCCACCTGAATGTTGTAATTACAACTACATGACACCAAAGAAAAAAGATGTTGAGTTAACGACGTATACAGTGCCATGCAAACCTCGTCTCTCTGGCAGCTCAGAGTCTTTCACAATTTGCTCCTAAAACTTGGTTATTTATTTGTAGTCTAAAAAGTTGGTTTTCTAGCCAACAGGATGGATTTTAATCAGCACTTCTAAAAAATTCCACACCCTGTTTTTTAAAATCTGCTGGGCAATCCTTTATCAAAAGGTGTCTCTTGGGCTGACTCAGTGGTGCTGCGCTAACATGCCACTCGAGAGAAGCCAGATCCCACCGACGACTTCAGTTCAAATCCCTGGCATGGTCAGCTGGAAACACACTGGGTGGGCAGATGAGTGCACAGGCTCGCACGGACCGGAGGGAGGGGACTGGACTATGGACAGTGCTCATCTCACGCACGCACATGTACACGGCCAAAGGAAAAACAAAGTAAGGTACCCCCATCTCTCGATTAGCTCAATATTAAACAAATCATCTTACCCTATGGCACTAGCAAGATCTTCCCAATCTATTTCATTAGAGTCTTCCACGTTTATTTCATATAACCTGTAACAAGAATAAACATGAACTTTTCGAGCAAAATTCAGCACGACAGCCATCTTGATGCCCTCGCAGAATAAGCCGGATCGCACGGGTGCTTTCGCCCATCCCAGTTCCTCGCCCAGGTTTCATCCAAGCTCACTGGGTCAGTGAGCTGCAGACACGGGCTGAGAAGCTCTCTCCTCCCTCTGAGCCCTGCGTGTCTCCCACGGAACCATGTTGCTTTCTCACAGTGAAAACCGCAGCGCCGCTCGACGCAGAGACAGACCAGCAGTGCATCGGAACCCAGTGCTCACCCCGTGACAGCACTGTGAAGGCCTTCGTGAGTGCTCATTTACAGTAACCTTGAGCACAACCTGATCAGGTGGAGTGCATCGGAACCCAGTGCTCACCCCGTGACAGCACTGTGAAGGCCTTCGTGAGTGCTCATTTACAGTAGTAACCTTGAGCACAACCTAATCAGGTGGGATCAGCCCTGTACTGCGGGCAGACGTGGGCTGAGAGACTGAGTCACTGGCTCAAGATTTCACAATAAATAGATGGTACTAGCCCTGACTTCAGATGCCCTCCTGGGGCCGGCTAGTCTCTGCTGGTTCTCCGGCAGAAGCGAGACAGAGGCCAAACTGGCCAGACCGACACAGCTAGGATGCACACTGGAACGGAAAGCAGGCTTGGGACAGACAGCAGGTGCACAGCCAGGGATGAGGGCAGACGAAGGGTGAGAGAATCCAAAGGCTTCCGCTGTCCTCTCCTGCCTCTCAGTCAGCAGAGCACAGGTCTGCTAGAGTTGCAGGCTTCACAAAGAGGCCCCACCTCTCCTTCCCTCCCAGCACTTCAAACACTTCAGGGAGGAGAGTATGGACCAGGTTTACAAAAGCCAGGGGCCAGATGGTGGCACAGAGGTAAAAATGTGAGGCTCTGTACGGATGAGACGGTTTCCAGTTCGAGTCTAAAGAGTTCTCTCAATACACAAGGCACACACGTGCCCATGGTCCAGGGCTGGCCAACAGCTGGGGGTGGGTCATGGCATCAAGACTTTGCTGGGATGCTATCTATTTTGCTCATGGAAGAAATAAACAAATAAGCTTAAAAACGGGGACCAGTGGGACCAGCAGTTGGCGTAATGGCTATGTTGCTGAACTTCCATGTAGTCGACCGCGAATACCGCGAGCACACGTGCCCTGTAGCAAAAACCTCTCCCAAAACAAACAAACAAATAAGACAAAAACAGGAACCAGTAGATGGCGTAATGGTTACATTGCTGGATTCCCACGTAGTAGACAATGGTTCAAGTCCTGGACCTGGCAGCTTAAAACTCATGATGGGCACATGTGTGTGCCCAAAATCCTGAGAGAAGAATGGGGGAGAAGGGATTGAGGTATGGCCATTAACTCGGGATGATTTCTCACTTTCTGTCTATCTCTCCGGCGAGCATACGTGCCCTATATTAAAAATATCTCTCTTAAAAAAAAAAAAAGAAAGAAAGAAAGAAAAAAAAAAGCTTGAAAACAAAAACAAAATAGAAATTCTTGGGGATAAAAAAAATGCCAAGCAGCAGCAAAACCAGCAGATCTGTGCTGGAGAGCTGTAGGGCTTTGCCATGGCTCTATATTTCCATTTTCTTTTCTTTTTTTAAAAAAATCATCTATTTATCAGGAACTAGCAGTTAGCGTAATGACCATGTCGCTGGACTCCCACATAGTCGACCACAGTTTGCGTCCTGGACCCGGTGGCTTAAAACTCACACCGGGCGCGTGTGCGTGCGTGCCCAAGATCCCGAGAGGAGAATGGAGGAGAATGGATTGCAGTGTGACTATCCCCCCAGGGGGTGATTTCTTGCTTTCTGTCTCTATGTCTCTGTCTGTCTGGCGAGCGCACGCGCCCTATAATGAAAATCTCTCCAAAAAAAAAAAATCATCTATTTATTTAATTCCATCTGTTATTATTATTATTTTTTTAATTTGACCAAGAGAGACGGAGAGAGAAAAAGAAAGTAACTGCCAGGTCCAAGACTCAAACTGTGGTTGGCCACATGGGAATCCAGTGCCTTTAGCCACCGTGCCACCTGCCGGCCCCTGCATCTCCATTTTGAATGGACAGAAATAACTCATATCTCTATGAAAAACTTCAAAGCTTTGAGTACACAGCATGCTTACACACGTTATTTTCATTCTCTTCCTCCCGATAACACTTGAGGGTAGTCACTGCTACTATTACCCTCACTGAGGACGAGCAAATGGGGCCAGCAGGTGGTGTGATTAAGGGCACTGGACTCCCACATGGCTGACTGCGGTTGGAGTCCCAGACCTGGTGGTTTGCTTTCTCACTTTCTCTCTCTCTCAATCTGTCCCCCTCTGGCCAAATTAAAATAAATAAATAAAGTTAAATAAAAATAATTCTTAAAAAAAAAAAAGATGAGTAAACTGAACTTAGTAAAGTTAGTGAGCCACCCACAGTAATACACGTAGGAAGGGCTGGACAGGGGCTTGAACCTTACGAACCTCTTTGCAGGTATCTGCTGTGTTAAACTACTTCTCTTTGGGTTGAGAGAAAACAAAATTAAATAATAATAATAAAAATAAACAGAAGTGGATCAATTCTGACTACTATACCTCTCAATAAGGTTGATTTTGGCCTGCAGGGCATTAACTCCACGGTACACATCCCGACCATTGGTCATCCTCTTGGTTAAAATTTCTGTCCTGCAACAACAAAAGAAAACAACAATACGCGACCAGCAGATGGCGTAATGGCTACGTTGCTGTGTTGATTGACTCCCATGTAGTCGACCACAGTCCGAGCCGCGGACCTGGTGGCTTAAACTCATGCTGGGCGCATGTGCGTGCGTGCCCAAGATCCCCAGAGGCAAATAGAGGAGATGGGATTGTGGCATGGCCATCCCCTTGGGGGTGATTTCTTGCTTTCTATCTCTCTGTCTCTCTCTCTGTCTTTCTGTCAAGCACACACACCCTACAGCAAAAACCTCTCCAAGAAGGAAAACAACAATATGCTTTCAACGATAAGGCTTCTGGGACCAGCAGTTAGCGTAATGGCTATGTTGTTGGACTCCCATGTAGTCGACTGCAGTTCAAGTCCCGGACCCAGTGGCTTAAAACTCATGCCGGGCGCGTGTGCGTGTGTGCCCAAGATCCCGAGAGGAGAATGGAGGAGAAGGGATTGCAATGTGGCTATCCTCCCTGGGGGATGATTTCTCGCTTTCTGTCTCTCTGTCTCTATCTGTCTGTCTAGCAAGCACACATGCCCTATAGTAAATCCCCTCCAAAAAAATAAAAAATAAAAATAGAGGGCCAGCAGGTGGTATGGTGGTTAAGGCCATAGACACTCTCACATGGCCAACCATAGTTTGAGTCCTGGACCTGGCGGTTTGCTTTCTGTGTGTGTGTGTTTGGTCAAATTAAAATAAATGAATGAATAAATAAAATTAAATGAATAATTCTTTAAAAATAGAAATAAATAAGGGAGAAAAAGAATAAATCTGTTAGCGGGTGCTAAAGGACACTTTGTAAACTCCATTTATTTTTGATTGCTTACACACAGATGGACAAGGCTCTTGTTGCCATTATCAACTGCTGGAACACCAAATAAGACACATTTAATAAGTAGTAAATGATTAGATGATTCTACTAATGCCCAAAGCTAATAATGCCTGAAGGAAAGTGTTGAATGAAGTTCCTAGTGAGAGCAGCACTGTGATTAAAAATAATAAGCACTTCCCTTCAATAGCAAATTTCGCCATACTCTGAAGGACAGATCATTGGCTGTTACACAGTCACTCCTGGTAACAGGCATGTGGTACACGCACAATCGACACTGCTGCTCTCACTGTTAGCTATCCACCATATTTACAGTTTTTGCTTGTTTGTTTGTTTGTGTAAGAAGTCCCTTTCTTTCATGAGACACAGAAATAGAGACCAAGTATCCTCAATAGGATCTCATGCCATGATCACCAATGGCCCCCCAGTCGAACTGGGAGCGCATGCCCTGCGTGTACTGGTCAGCCAGAAAGCCAGACCCGTGGCTGTCCATATGGATCCAGCCTCACTTGAACAGCTGAGCTGGCCCATTTGAGCTCATGTCAACATGAGGCAAAGCAGGGTTCAAGTTTCCTGCTTTCCTCTTCAAATTACAGAATTCTTGCCTTGTATCTTCACTAGGTTGTGTCGGAAGCAGCACTCCCCTGAGCCATTTCCCCCTTAACGCTGATACGTCATCCTTCAACTGGGGCTTGTAACCTGCTCCCTCTTTTTAAGCCTAAAATGTGGGGTAGAAAGAGTTTTGTTTCCAGGACCAGCAGTTAGCGTAATGGCTATGTTGTTGGACTCCCATTTAGTTGACCGTGGTTCAAGTCCCGGATCCAGTGGCTTAAACTCACGCTGGGTGCGTGTGCGTGCATGCCCAAGATCCCGAGAGGAGAATGGAGGAGAAGGGATTGTGGCGTGGCCATCCCCCTGGAGGGTGATTTCTCACTTTCTGTCTTTCTGTCTCTCTCTATCTTTCTGGTGAGCACACATGCCCTATAGCAAAAACTTCTCCAAAAAAAAAAAAAAGAAAGAAAGAAAGAAAGAAAGAAAGAAAGCTCTGCTTCCTCCGTATCACTCACTCCTCTAACTGATCTGTTCTTTGGAGTTTATGTTCCCAACCACAGTCCTCTATTAAGATAAACAAACACACATCACAGAATTGTCAGGGACATGAATGGCACAATCAAGGAGCCTGCTTCACTGAGCATGCATTGTGCACCAGGTGGGCTCCCGAGCATGCACAATGCTGCTTCACGAAGTCCAGCTCTGCCCCCTTCAGGGTTAGAAAGCTCCAACAGGCAAAGAACGTGGAGCAAGAGCAGGACTGAGACCACGTGACTGGTGCAGCTAAGCGTGCACTGGCTTGCTTCAGGTAACCAGAAAGCAAGGTGGGAAGCCAGAGCTACTGCTGATCTCTGGGCTTGTGGCTTCTCTTTGGAACTTTAGTTTTCTGTTTCATTTTTCAGTATTGCCATAGAGTGTATCCACTTACCAGAAGGAGACGGTAGGGTGTAGAGTGAGAAATCTGCTCCCCTCGCCCCCCAGGGTATGGCCAAGCTGCAGTCCCTTCTCCTCCATTCTCCTCTCAGGATTTTAGGGACATATGCATACATACTTGTACCCGGCCTGTGGGAGTCCAGCACCTTAACCAATATGCCACCTGCTGGCCAAGTTTCCTACTGTTTTTAATATTAAAAAGTTTTACCAAAGACTTAGAAAAAGACAGAATAACGAGATCAGAAGTCAATATCTCGTATTAAAAGGTTCAAGTTCTTCACAAGCCTCGCACTCTTTAATCAGTGAAGATTAAGTGCTAGTTTAAAATCAGATATATATTTTCTAAGTTGATTTATGTATTTTTTCCCACGAGTGAGAGAGACACAAAGACAGGCAAGCAGGCACACAGGGCCCCGATGCTGCGATCCCCCCAGTATCGGTCAGGCCCGACCACGGGCGCCCATGAGCGCACCGTACCCAGGTAGGTCTCTGGCTGTGAACCTGGAACTTCGCCATGCGGGTTGGCCACAGAGCATCGTACTGACTTCCGTGCTGCCCTCTGGCTCCCATGTCAGGGTGCCGACACGGAAGCAGCTGAGAAATGGGCTAGAGGTGACCATTGCTGCTGCGTGAACCGTCCACACTGTGGTTACACGGGGACGTGCTTAGTAATCACACCTCTAACTCACGCTACAGAAAGTCTCCGGAGAGACGACCCTTGCTGAAAGCCGTACGAGAAGCCTCTAACTTACCACTTACTTTTGCACTGCATCCAGTTTCTGGTCTCCACTTTAGCTTCTACCTCTACCCAAGATATGCCCTTGTAGAGTTTTTCCCGAACAATCGATAAGCGACCTTCAGGGTTTTCTTGGAGGTTTGAATCCATTTCCTTTAACTCTTGGGGAGACATTTTCTTCAGAATCACTTCTTCAACAGCTTTAATTAACTTCTGTGTTTCTGTCTTACTCCAGGCACCCCGATTTCTTTCTACAGACACAAAAGGATAATCTTGCAGTTGCAAATGTATTCACTTTCAAAGAATACTAAAATACTAACACTTATTAATGGCAAAGTATTTAACAAAAGTAGTAAAGTGTTTAAATCCGTCAGGTACTTTGCAGAAAGCCATGGGGAGCAATCTCAATTACACAATGTAAACTATTAGGCCCAGCTGTGTGGAGCAGGTGGTTGGGGGCCACTGCGCAAGGCTGAGCTACATGGGAGGCCCAGGTTCGATTTCTGACTGAGTCTAAAGCAGGCAGGGTACCCTGGGGCATGACTGGGTCCTGGCTAACTGGGAGACTGGGGTAGGTAGAGTGCGACTTGGTGACATCTTGTCAAAAACATCACTTTATCTTTCACTCATTACAAACAGTCAAACACAATTACCTGCAAATTAAAATAAAATTACTGAGACCAGCAACTGGCATAATGGCTATGTTACTGGACTCCCATGTAGTTGACTGCGGTTTGAGTTCCAGACCCAGTGGCTTAAACTCACACCGGGCGCGTGTGCAAACATGACCAAGATCCCGAAAGGAGAATGGAGGAGAAGGGATTGCGGCGTGGCCATCCCCCTGGGGGGTGATTTCTCACTTTCTATCTCTCTGTCTCTCTCTGTCTATCTCTTTGGCGAGGGCACATGCCCCATAGCAAAAAAATTTACAACATTCTATGGCCAGACCAGTGATACTTAGACTGCCAATTTGATACCTCGTCCTTGCTTAGCATGACTGATTATCTCTAACGAAGAAGGGTGAGCCTGGGGCAGTCAGTGGCATGGCGACTAGGGCCACTGGATCCCACATGGCCAAGTGCACAGTCCCAAACCCAACGAAAAATTCAGGAAAGTTTCAAGAAAAAAAAAAAAAAAAAGATTTCCAATGTTTACACAATTAAAAAAAAATTCTAGAATTTTGCTTTAGTTCCTGGAAACTCAAAGAACTGACCTTGTGGCCAGAGTGTATGAGCCACTATGCTAAAGAGTAATGTCGGAAAAAAATAAAAAAAAAAAAAAAAAAGATACTAAAGTGATCATAGGTTCTTTTTAAGAATCAAAGCCAGAAATTATTAAATAAGTCCTTTTTAAAAAGAATTATTTTATTTAACTTTATTATTTTTGTATTTATTTTTTCATTTGACCAGAGAGGGAGAGTGAGAGAGAGAGAAGAGAGAGGGGGAAGTGGGAAAGCAAGCTGCCAGATCCAGGACTCAAACTGTGGCCAAACATGTGGGAGTCCAGATCCCTTAACCATCATGCCACCTGCTGGCGCCAATAAATCCTTTCTTAAAGCAATGCTTTTTTACCTTCAAAAGTTGTTCTTTCTGTTTCTGAGATCAGTATTTCCTATGTACAACTGTAAAGGTTTCCATTTAAAAGAGGAAAAACAAAATCAAGTGAACTACATTATGTACAAGTCTCCCCTAAGAGTTTCTAGTGTGAAATTAATAACCACAACACCGGCACGGTCCTTAACAGTGAAGGCATCTGAGACTTTCTGAACTGGTCATCTACGTGGGGTGTCAAAGGCATCTATGGTTCTCCCTTGTGCGATATTATTTTTAATTTGCTATAGGGTATGTAACACTTGCCAGAGAAAGACAGACAAAGAAGGAAAGAGAAATGAGATCCAGGGAAATGACCGCACCACAGTCCCTTCTCCTCTATTTCCCTCTTGAGATTCTGAGCACGCACACACACACAGCATGTTTTTTGAGCCGCTGGGTTTGGGACTGTGCACTTGGCCATGTGGGATCCAGTGGCCCTAGTCGCCATGCCACTGACTGCCCCAGGCTCACCCTTCTTCGTTAGAGATAATCAGTCATGCTAAGCAAGGACGAGGTATCAAATTGGCAGTCTAAGTATTATTGGTTTGGCCATAGAATGTTATTTTCCCCAGGAAAGCAATTTGGATAAATACTGAAAATTCAGGAGAGTTTCAACGAAAAAGAAAAAAAGATTTCCAATGTTTACAAAATTAAAAAAAAAAAATTCTAGAATTTTGCTTTAGTTCCTGAAAACTCAAAGAACTGACCTTGTGGCCAGAGTGTATGAACCACTGTGCTAAAGAGTAATGTCGAAAAAAATTTTAAAGAGTTTTTGCCATTGGGTGCATACGCTTGCCCAAGTCAGACAGAGAGCGAGAAAGGGAAAGTGAGAAGTCCTTCCCTGGGGGAATGGCCATGCTGCAATCCCTTTTCCTCCATTCTCCTCTTGGGTTTTGAGCACACACACACACACATGCCAGACAAGATTTTCAAGTCACCAGGTCTGGAACTCGAACTATGGTTGGCCACGTAGGAATCCAGCATCTTAACTGTCATGCCACCAGCTGGGCCCGAAAAAAAAAAAAACTTAAAAAAAAAAAAAACCCAAAACATTACAAATGTAAACATAAATGGGGCCAGCAGTTAGCATAACGGCTATGTTGCTGGACTCCCACGCAGTCGACTGCAGTTCGCGTCCCAGACCCGGTGGCTTGAACTCACGCTGGGTGCGTGTGTGTGGGTGCCCATCCCCCCTGGGGGTGATTTCTCGCTTTCTCTCTCTGTCTCTGTCTGTCTGGCGATCACAAGTGCCCTACAGCAAAAACCTCTCCAAAAAAAAAAAAAAGAAAACAAATGTAAACATAAATGGACAAAAGAAAAAGACTCCTCAAAACAAAAAGAGCAAATTAAAAGCAGCAGTGCTCCTGGGAGTCGGGCTGTGGTGGTTCCTAGGTGGTGGATGGGCTGCGGGCTGAAGCAGACCCATCAGGCTCATTCACCCCCTGCGGCGGGCACCAGAGACTGCCACTTACGGGTGCTGATCTGGGAGAACTTCAGGGCCACTGACAAGCTACTGCGGGCCACCATCTCGCCGATCTTTTTCCAGTCGTTCCCATGGAGGGAATGGTATGTCTTTAACTTTTCGGTGTCTCCTTTGCTATACCTAGGAGAGAGGGAAAGCGAATTGCAAGTTAGCGAGGACTACGAGAGCAGAAATGGCATTCTCATCACAGCATGCTGCTGAAATGCTGGTCCTGGCTCCTGTCCTGCCAGGACCAGAGCTCTAGTCACTTCCTGTCCCAGCCTCTCAATGGAGGTCACCCCCCCATAATCAGCACAGCCCCTGGCTCAGACACACAGGCTAGCACGCACCACGTCACCTGCTCTCGCTCGGAGCCCGTGCCTGTGGCAGGAATGTCCACCCGCCACCCCACCCAGAAGTGCCTTCCCATGCTCCCACCGCCATTCGAATGGCCGCTCAGGGATGCCGCCCTGACCACGCGAGCCTAGGGTCCCCGTGGCCGGCTGTTCCTTCACAGCCATGGGCTCCTGTTACAGCTCTTCCTCTAGACCAGAGCCCCCGTGGGAGACACTGAGCCACATGCGGACGTTACATTCTCCTAGTCACAGGAAAACTGTTTAGTTTAGTGTTTTTTTAAGTTTTTGCCATAGGATATGTGCTCGCCAGAGAAGGTAAGTGAGAAATCACCTTCTCCTGGGGGCGATGGCCACAGCATACACCACGATCCCTTTTCCTCTATTCTCCTCTCGGGATTTTGGGCACACATGCACTCAGCGTGATCTTTAAGCTGCCAGGTCAGGACCAGAAATGTAGTCAGCCACGTGGGAATACAGAGCCTTACCCACCATGCCACCTGCTGGCCCCTTAATTTAGTTTTCATGAAATTAATTTTAAGATGATATTTAATTTAACCCAATATATTAAAATGCTATTGGGGGCAACCCAAGAGGACCCCCTCCCTTTTCTGGGACCCCTCCCTCCTTGGGAACTCTGTTCTCCCTTCCCTCTCCTTCAGTAAGCTCCTTGCTTTGCTATACCTACTCTGTGTCCAGGACTCTCATCCTTCCCGGGTATGGGACAAGGACCGTGTCTTGCTATGGGTGGGGGCCCAAACACCCCTGCACCCCCCACGTATCCCCCCCCTGCGTTCCGTCAAATTTTGGCACATGGGGCAGGAACCATCTAGACTCCCCTTCAGGTGTACATGAATCCACCAAGCTACAAGTGGTGGTCTGGACAATGAGCACCTATCATGACTTCTATGGGGGGGTAGGCGGCGGCTGGAAAGACCTCTGAAAAGCTCCTGAGGCCATCCTCCTGCCTCAGCAG